TCCTCAGCAGCTCACCGGTTTCAGCATCAAAGTATTCGTCGCCGAAGTGCTTCCGTAACTTCCGATATGCCGGTTTACCAGGCTTAACAGCTGCAACTGTATTTGATAAGCTGCTGCCCACTGCGTAGCACACAATTCGCCAGAATGCCACTCATCCAAAACACAACAAAAGCGGTTTTTTAAAAGACGGAAAAAAGGCTCCAAAAAGCCCTCCCCACAACACCACAGAGGAATCGTCTTTAGGCAGAGTGATGTTTAGAAGTATTTTGTAGCAGCAAATGCTGCTTGAAGTGCAATTTAGCGGAATCCTAGATGGCTAATAAAACTTATAAAGAACGACTGCACCAATGTGAGAGGCATAAGCTGCAATATGTGCAGATTTGTAGCTTCGTCCCAGGCACTTTTGGCTAGACGCGTCTCTAAGCCACCCAAATCTCAATTCAGTTAATGCATAGACTGCTAGTTCCATTCAGATTCCCCCAAACCCCCCCCCCCTCCCGCTCCCCCCGCCCCCCAAAAAAAAAACAAGATTTTGCATGGTATTTTATTTTGTCCACTAAATTCAAACTTAAAAATCAAAACCCGCCCCCGACTTACTCATCCACTCAAATTCTGTGCAAGACGGAGGCAAACAATCTTTTGTCTATTCAAATATTTCCAGACGCCATCACTCGCATAAATCTGGCGACTCAACATTTAGCAGGAAAGAATCAAAAGTCATCGAGAATGACAGGACAATGCGAGGCCAATCAGAGCCACATTACAACTCATATTTTCGAAATGATCCAAACTAGTGGTAACCTTCACGAGCGATTAAATCGGCGTCTATGACCGGTATTCCACTGTCTGAGAAAATCCTCGAGACCATGCTTTTGCCGGTGGCAATGCCGCCAGTGAGACCAACCAAATACATCGAATGCAAGTGCACCACTACAACAAATGCTTCTGAAGACTGGAAATACCACCAGGAATATCACGCAGGAACAAACCCGTACAATGCGCAGCTCTCCCCCACTGCTCACAAACTTCAAAATCAGATCGAAGCCCCGTCACTCACCACAAACCCGTCACAGCACATCTGCACTCATTTTCTGCCGGCCCTTGAAACCAAACAATGGACTCTGCTTAGACGGCTCGCATGACTAATAACCGCCTCAAGCAGGACAAAACATCAGTGGTACTGAAGAGGATCGTATACGGGTTAATAGAATGCAACACTTCCTCTGGAAACATCACTCGCATTTCAACCTTTCCCTCAAAGAGCTTTATTTTAAAATTTCAAATTCTCTTCTATCACATGAATTCGAAAGATGCATTCATACCCGGAACACACAGATCCCAC